CTCGGATCGAGTAATCAGTTTTAATTAAGCGTACCTTTCGCCCGGGAGTTAACGAGGGTAGTTACTCGTTAGTCCGAGATACCGTGCGATTCGCCGACCCTAAAAAAAAGTCGCATGAGATCCGATCTCGGCTGAGCAGAACGAAGAGTTACATGCGGATAATTAATTTCATAAGTATTTCGTAATAATCGCTCAAAATATAATAATGACTCTTGCTCTGAATTTTAAATCATTGTTTTAAAAATCAATAGTTAAAAAAATTTAATAATACAGTATATTGTAGAAAGACTTGTATTTTATTCACTAACTATATTAAATTTTAAACAATATCAATTCTTATTGGACGGCTAAATATCAAACCGAATGAGACAAAATGCCACAGTTTAGACCGCTGTGGCATTGTCTCGTACGGTTATAAATTTTAAATTAATTAAAAAGTATAAAAATTGATTTTTGTTGATTGAAATTATAAAAAAATATCAAAATATTAATTCATCTTCATTCTATTTCTTTTAACGGCACGAGGCAAATTCGATATCATATCGCCATCGCTCGTTACGACGGAAGGATATTCATGCGACCGGTAAAGTGTAATTTTTCGGGAAGTGAACTACGGGGGGACGAAATGGTATGACAAAGAGAGAAAGAGAGAAAGAGAGCGGTCGTTTTAAGTACAGATAATAGGTGGTGTTTACCGCCGCGATGATCGGCACCATTTAAGGGTGGCCCGGCATGAAGCGGCGGATGGGACCCCAAATAAATTAAATTATCATGATAAAAGCCCCCTCCCGTCCCCTCGTTCGATATAAGAGTGCGAATGGTGATTGTCCACTCGATAAAGTCGCCCTTCTCATGTTTACCGACATCTGTCACAGTTTACGCATTTTCCGATCCTGATCGGTGACATGCAGTGTGCCAAATGATCAATTTAGCGGGACACGGCGCATTCTCCGCGCGTCAATGAAATTACAACCAATTCAACCGTAAATGTACAATAAAGGATTGCAGAAATTGAATATGGAAATTGTTTCTAAAAATTAGTGCTGTTTATGTAAAAAGACGTAACGGTTTAATTAAATTTCCATTTAATTTTGAAAACGAATAATAATGAAGGAGACATCTATTGCACGTTAAACATTCTTTGGTAACTCATATTTTAATTTTTCTATAACTTTTATTAGTAAACTTTAATAAATGCATTAATTCTCGTCATTTGTTGTATCATTTTCCTCCTCGATTATTTTTATCGACTTCGTGATTGCACGGTACATCGCATTGCGTTTATTTATTGGACTACATGCAGGGAAATTGTTTGCAGTTAGTTAGCGCTATAGTTAACGCGACACCCCTATGATAGAAGGGTACGTACCGTATGTCAGTTGCCAACCCCCTCGATCGCGACAGATGAATTTCTTTGGTGTGCTTGTAACGCCGACTAATATGCCGGTGGCTCAATGAATAATTATCGCAAGACGGCCAATTTGGCGACAAAGGGTTTGGTAATTTATAACGGCTATTTGTCCGCTCTTCTCGTTTCTTAAACTTTTAAAAGATGCAACCACCTTAGGAGTCAGAACTCGATCATTGTACCTATTTCCGTCTTTAATAAATTAAAATATTACAATCTCGGTGAAATTAATTAGCCTATTTCTAAAATTTCGATGTAATATTAAATTCTTTTCAATGTTTTAAAGACATGCTCATTAACATTAGCATTATTAAATTGTTCACCAACGTAATTTATGATATTACTTACTGCAACTTTAAGGACACAGTTTAGGACTTTTCAAGACTGATAAATAATTATTGATGCGCGGTTTATTTAAAATTGTTAAATTCATTTAAAAAATATTAAAAATTACGACCCGTCCTAACCAAATGTGGTCTTTTTCGCTCATTTATAATGAACATTTCTTGATCAATTCACTTATAATTTAATTAAGATTAATTTTCACTTAACATATTATGATTAAAATTCTAGCTCTCTATCTCTCTTACTCACAGAGTTCTAAAATCTTTATAACATATAAAAAAGAATAGATACAATTAAACATAAAATATACACTGAAAAAATATTATGATTGTATCAATAAAAAAATATATGTGATAGTGTATTTTGGTGAAATTAAACAAAATTTCTGGTTATCACGTGATTAGACTTGATATATTATAACTAGAACGTTTGATAGACTTGAAGATATGATTGAATTAATTTATAGTATTTTTGATTAAATCTATAAAAGTGGGTATTTTATATTCATATATAAAAACGTTGTTTTTAAGAAGTTATACTGACCTAACTGACTAAATAAATAGTATTATCAAAGTATATTTAATAGAAAGCAATTAATCATCCTCATCTAATTTCTAAATCCTCGTCATAATTTCTAAAAAAATTTTGATTTATTTAGTTTACATTGTAATAGACATACTTCATATCAGACTTTCAATAAGATTTTTTGTACTAAAAATCAAAGATATAGAAATACATATTTACATTTTTGTTGCACAAAATTGGTAATAATTTTTTTATTTCGATCACAATCAACATCCACATCTACGAATCTTAATCCCGCAATAAAATTCAATTATTATTGTTATTATATTACAGATACATTATCGTTTAAAATTAGTTATCAAGAATATACTATATGAGGAATAGATGTCCGAGAACCTTATCTCAATCCAGTCCTCTCGACTTTTTAGTCACGTTGACTAAAAGTGATACAGATTACAATTTTATGATTGATTATGGAATTAATGTAATCACGTGTGAATCATAATAAAGTTAAGTAACTGCAAAAAAACTTTATCTTAAGGATTAATAAAGTATGATAAGTAGACTATTATATATATATATGTATATATATACATTGAAAAATAATTTATAATATTACGTTATATGCAAGAGTGTCACGAGAATTTAATGGATTTGCGTACGCAGTGTGTCCGGACGACAAAATTGAAAAAAAGAACATAAAAATAAATCATAATGGGACGAGCGAGGAGCGCAATGGCGCAAATAATAATTGTCACGAATCAGCGGGAAGGGAAATCATCGGTCAGGCCATATGTGCCCAGCAGGGGAGGGGGGACGAACTCCACTTTGTCCAACGATAAATAACCCAATAAATGTGCTACAGTCTAAATACTAACAGCTATCAAATGTAGTCTCCCATCCCTCGCGTGATGCTTGCTCCCAACAATCGTCAAAAATTTCCTGCACGCATTTTTTCCAATCCGTAACGATTATTAAACAACACGCGTAATACTTTTGTATTTCATGCAGAGAGACAAAAGAAATTCAGCAAAATCACTTGAAACATCTTAGTTTTGAAGCATACGAAATTTTTCGGGCAAGTCGATATCCTATGGTGTAGTATACTACATAGCATTATATTTATATAATTTTATATTTAATTATACTTTCTTATTATGCATGTTACATATCTTAATTTTTTAATTCTTTTTTACGTTCTTAACGATCATTTCTTTCTTAATATACTTGCGATTTAGTTAAATGTTCAATGTCGACGAAAACACGTGCGTCCCGCTGTGTAAAGAACGTCATCGAGATATCGAAACTGTCGTTTATTTATCGGGCGTGAAATCGCGCGGCCCTAAGTACATCGAAATATTCGGATTTCTCTTTGAGAGGGAGAGCGAGAGCGCGCGTACCTGCTCGTATGCAGCTTAGTGAATCACGCGTCGACCGGTAATCCGAATGCGCTCGACTAAACGCCGCCATGTGTACAAACACTGACAGCCGGTCACGCACTTGCTAGTTAAGTTACGAGGGTGCTTAAGCCAATGACGCAAGGCCCACCTCCCTGCTAATCGTGGAAACCCAGTGGACATAGCGCTCGACGACAACAAAAACACGTGACATCCCCGTGACAAAAATAACGGCGTCTCTCACTTATACGCCGTAATTGAAAACCTTGGACTAAGAGATGTACTCTTCGTATAAACTGGACATTTTTAATTCGAGTTCAGAATTGTGTGTGTGCCTTTTTGTGATTTTATTTCAAACACGTCACTTCACACGATTTTATTCAATGTTTTTTTTTCAAATTTATGAAATTGATTTATTTCGCAATTGTATTTATAAATAATTTACTTCATATTAAAAAAGTAGATTCATTAATGTAACTTAACTACAATTTAAATTATTTTAAAAAATAATTACTAAGAAAAGTATATTAATAGTAATAATTAGATTTCGCATCTATCCATACAGCACAGTTTAATCCAACAATATTACAAATGTTGCAACAATGTTGCTGCAAACTTCTGTGCTATATTGGTACAGTTATTAATAAACAATTATGTTTAGAATAATTCTAGATAATAGATAAATCGTTGATGTACACATATAAATCGTGTGATGTATAATGCAAACGTGTCTCCATCACACATTGATCAATCCAGTTCTGTCACGATTATGTAGACGATCATCTCGTCAGACTCCACGACGTCCTACGCCTATGGTGTTATAAGTTGGCAATTCTCCCCTGACCAAGAGTCATTCACGGGGCTAATTGCAGGGGCGGCTTTCCACCCCTATCGTCTAACCCCAAATCATCCCCCGTAATCCATAGGGATTTACACTCGCGATAATTGCATTAGCATTCGATGATTTTTATTGGATCGCCCGGATCGCAATAATGAATCATTTTTGTTCTCCGAAATGTTTGCTGAACTAAAATCGCATGGAATTTGCGACTTTTATCGGATATAAACAAATTTAATAAAGCAATATTTTTAATTGGAAGTTTTCGTTATACAAAAATCAACACGACGACAAAAGTATAATTGCACGCAGTTTTATATGACTTATTTCAATATATTTTAATTATGAAATTTTTAATTTCGGCGCGTTTCATTACCGCGCAAATATTGTTATTGGAATTAGTAATATAATAATAATACAATAATATTACATGTACTATTATAAAAATTAAAAATTTCTTCAAAAAAAAAAATTTTTTGTAATATAGGTTGCGCGGCACAACATGCATTGCTGGGTAAAACCAGAAGGCCCAGGACCGCCTTTACATCCCAGCAGCTCCTTGAATTGGAGAAGCAATTCCGACAGAATAAGTACCTCAGCAGACCGAAGAGGTTCGAGGTCGCGACGTCGCTGATGCTCACGGAAACGCAGGTAAATCGAGATAATGATGTTGAACTGCGCATTAGCTTCTCGATATCCCAAACTCAATAATGGCCCTGAGCCCGTGAATCACTTCTCGTACGATAAGTATCGCGATTAGCAATTTTTATTACTCACATCCCTGAGTAGAGAGAAGAAACGTAATGCGAATCGTGAATCACCTGTAATTCGAGATCCATGATAAAACATGCTAAAATAAAATGGCTTTTACCGATGCCCTACAGAAGTCATGAAGTATCGAATAGAGAAATCTCACGTAAATTCTATCGTAAATTTGTTGCCGCTCACACTACTGTAACAATTATAACCAAAGTAGGAAACCATGAAAAAGTAAAAAAAAAGATTGTGCTCTTTTACATAAAATCTATTTCCTCTTTCGGGAGATTGAAAGGTATCTTTGCATAATTACATATTCGATTGATACGGAATCGTTCGTAGAAATTGTTAAGAAATCGAATCGATAATTTCTTGGGAATAAAGGAGACAGAAGTTGGAATCAAGTTGACGCTAAGTTAGCGTCGAGAGTTGTCCGACGAGAAGTTGAGCGACGTCGACCGGTAAATAGCGCGAAAATGGAAATTCGCGAGGTTACGGGAGCGCGAGAAAGGGAAAAAGAAGACCCTCGAAAGAGAGAAAATCCCTTCGAATAATCCGGCCCGCCCTTCCTCCATCCGACTCCGTGTGCACGCGAATCCTCTCTCGCATAGTTCAACAACTTAAACATAACTCCGAAGCTTACGAGCCCTGACGGATCGCTCGGCAAACAGACGTGAAAGTCTGAGTTATGGCGGGCTCAGTCGCTGATTTGTTTCGATATTTTACCGATTCCGCCTCGCTCCTCGCCTCCACCTCGGCCTTCCTCGTCCTCCTCCTTTCTCGGGCCTGTTACCCATTTCACGTCTGAGTTCCGCGCTTGCAGAAACGCGATTACCGCGGCGATTTACCGTCCAAGCGCGAGCATCACGACGAAACGCGTCGCGAAGCTCGACGAAGAACACGTTTATTTGAAAAGGGCGAAAGCCGTACATTTCCCAATAAATCTCTCAACGTTGTAATTTTTGTCATTATCAAACCAAGTCATTCAGAGATGTAGACATACATATAGAGATGTCGCACGCAATTAAGTTTTATGACAAAATTATTGTTGTCATTTGATATAAAGGCATAAAATATATACTTATTTTCCTTTGAATATTCTTATTAAATCGATTTAATGTTCGACTTGCAATATCACTGCGTCAATAATAATGATTTCCTTATTTGAATTAATTAAAATCTGATATTCGTTAATTGTCATGAAATCGTGATCACAATCGTAGTCATAACAATATGCGAGATCTACGCATTGATGGTCATCAATGAAAAAAAAAACATCTTCGACAATTAGCGCAATTGAGATCGTATTGTAGATAAATCGATCTCGGCATCCCATGATTCACCGTCGTTCGGTTTCCCATGTACAAGATGTCGATTAATTTCGGCTCGCAAGATAATTTACAACGCGATTTATTTCTTCTCTTCCTCGCTCACTCGCTCGCTCTTTCTCGCTCGTTGGTTTATCGGCGATATAACAAATATTTATTTTCGCGGGCGTCGCCCCCTCCTTCTTCACTTTTTTCGACCGACTCGCTCGCGCCTACAATTCGCACCTTTTCTCGCCTGCCTTTTCTTCCCTCTCTCTCAAATTCAATCCCCGTGCTTGTTTACTTCGCACTCCGAATTATTTGTTAACGCGACGCGAATGATTTACGTAAGTCCCTGTTGTAGCGTTTTGTCTATCAAATCATCCAGCTGATCGAAAAGCGATGGCGCCCGTTGTATTTTGTAGTACCTATAATTCAAGAGAAACATTTTCATCGCAAATATTTTTAATCTTCGAAGATTACTTCATAACAGTTTTAATGAATTGCTCACAAAATTAATAAAGACATTTTTATCGCAAACAGATAGTCTATTATATTTCCAAGATTTTTTGTTCATTTTGAGAACGTGTCAAAAGATAATAAGAGTAAAAAAATTACAGTATATTACGTCGCTAAGTTGCGTTTAGAAACTTTACCAAAGTACACCCATGTGTCATTTTATCTTTGCTGTTCCAAATTTAACCTTCAAACGGCACACTTCATCCCAGCATCCATAAACGGCACACTGGTGCGAATTGAGATATTGTGATTTTATTCACTTACTTAACCATGGTAATATACTTCAAAATATTTTCAAAATCATACTTTCTTGGAGTAAAATTTCTCAACAAAACGATTGGTACAACTCAAATTTAGTTAAATTATTCTTAAGTTATAAAAAAATTGTTACTAAAAAAAAATTGTAGGGAAAATGTCAATGTTTTGAAAATATTGCTGGTGCGAATTCGCACCAGAGTGTGCCGTTTGAGAGTTAAACATGTATCCTAAAATACATACATAGATAATACATACATGGGTGATCACGTATGTATGTATATCACTTGCACTAAAATGAAATTTCTGAACGCAGCTCTATATACGTATTATGTAACCGTGGCGCGATTAGAGAATTCTACAATTACAATCTTATCACACGCGAAATCTCCTTCAAAGAACGAGAATTTGGCAAAACGTTCACAGATTCTCCCATTCGTATTCGTACGAGAAAGCTGCGTTCCTACACGGAGGGTAAAGATATAATACGGTTGGTGTGTTTGGAGGGGATTGGCTTGGGCGCATGATATGTTGTCCGAAAGATTTACATCGTTTTCTTACGATTGGGGAGGAAAAATCGAGTCCCTGTATCTGTCTACCTGATTTACTGCGTCTCGCGGGGTGGCTCACGTGACGTTACCCGTGCTTATAGAGTACGCATTCGCCAAATTAAATCGGGCGTGGATCGAAGAGTCATACCGACAAATCATCAATTCTCATAATTATAGTGCTTTTGCGATTGTCGTCAACACGAAATTGAAATGAAACTAAAAATCCTTTATTCACAAATATATTACAAATTTTTATCGTGTTTTTATCTAAAACATAAAAAAAATCCGAAAAACTATTTTTTAATTTCGGTATATCTGTCATGTAAAATAGTCAATATTTAGGGTATGTTAAGTTAACACCCCAACTATAGTACTCAGGAGTTCTGATTAGAGTTTCCACTTCCTTTTGACGAGACGAAGAGTTCCCTATAGTTAATAACAAGAGTTCAATAAACATTCTTTTTACATTTTTTAAAAATGGAGTGCCAACTTTTTATCGAATTTCGAGGTGGAATAGTTCTGAGCGGCTTAATAGCTTCAATTTGCGATTACCTAGAGTTCCTGATACGTAAAAAAACTTTTCGAATAATAAAAACAAAATTAAAAATTTTTGAAAAATTAATTTTTAGATACAATAGTTCTAATGATAATTCCTGCTTCTTTTTGACGATACGAAGAGTTCTCTATGATTTTTAATGACATATGCGCTTAATAATCATTTTTTAATAATTTTTAAAAAATGGGGTGCTAACTTTTTAACAAAATTCAAGGTCGCATAGTTCTGATCAGCTTAACAGAACTATTTTGTGAATACCTAGAGTTCTTGATACATAAAAAACATTTTTCAAGAATAATAAAGTTTAAAAAGAATAGTAGAAATCTTTGAAAATTTTTTTGAGAGTACCGAGTAGTTCTGAGTAGCGTTTCTTATAGTACTCGACGAGTTCTATCGAAAACTGTAAAGTGAAAAAGCGATTGGACCAACGGTTTGCAAGATACAGCGACATTTGTCGGAAGATCAACAATTTTTAGAGTGAGTATATCTCGGAAACCATTGACCCAATCGCTTTGAGCCCTGATACTTTTCGACAGAACTCGTCGAGAACTGTCCAGAACTCCGAACAGAACTACTCGGTACTCCCAAAAAATTTTTCGACGTGGGACTTAGAAAAAAATTGTTGGTCAAAAATTTTTGGGAGTACCGAGTAGTTCTGTTCGGAG